GGCGCGGCCGGTGTCGCCTCTGGCCGCTCTGGCGCCGCCAGCGACAGCCGCACCGCCCGCGGCCGGCGCTGCGAGAGCGGCGCCGCCACCGCCGCGACCGCGCGCGCTGCCCGCTGCGACGTACCTCAAGGAGGAGGCGACCGGTGAAGCGGCTCGCGTGCGGGCGATGTACAAGAAGGCGGTGTACTCGCTGTGGAATGCACAGCGGTGGGGCCGCCTTCCGCGCGCCGGCGCGGCACGCGAGTGGGGGCGGCGCTGTGTGTGTGTGCGGTGAGGCGTGTGCGTCGCCGCGTAGGTCAACTGGAAGAAGCTGAAGCTCTGGGAGTACCCGAGCATCATCACGCAGCCGATGGACCTGGGCACCGTCTTCAAGAAGCTCGACCGGGGCGAGTACTCGACGGCGGAGGCGATGAAGGCCGACGTCGAGCTCGTGTGGGCCAACGCGCTCCGCTTCAACGGCGCCGACTCGTGGATCGCAAAGCCTGTCAGCGAGTGCCGCGACCTCGCGGAGGCAAAGTTTCGGCACGCTGAGGCCACCTTCGAGTCGGCGCAGAACGCGCCGGCGGGCGGCGACGAGCGCTCTCTCAACGGTGCCGTCACCAACCCGTCGGGCACGGCGATCGTGACGCCGCAGATGCGGCTGCACTTTTGGTTCAACGCGAAGCGGTTGCGTTCGAGCGAGATGCTCGAGGTGCAGCGGATGGTGAAGAAGTGCTGCCCGGCCGCTCTCGTGCCGCTCAACTCGGGCGACATCAAGATCGACGTCGACGCCCTCGACTTTCGCTCTTTCATGCGGCTCGACGTCCACGTCCGCAGCGTGCTGGTGCAGCGGTGAGAGGCACCTCCCTGCCGAACCGGTGATCCTGCGAGAACCGGCCCCCGCGCTTGCCCCACCTCTTGGCTGCAAAGCGGAGGTACGGCGAGGAGGGGGGGAGGACCGGGGGCGCGGGCTCCGTGCTACCATAGGTGCATGTACGACGGCCGTTTTGGGATTTGGGGATCTGTGAGGGGGCGTCCAGCCTCCAGCTGGGCTTGGGGCCGGGGCCCCTGCCCCCGCCCCCGCAGCGCCGCAGGAGTAGAGCGAGAGAGAGAGCCAGAGCTAGTGCAGTCAGGGTCCTACACACTCAGTCGTGTATGGCCACATACGGGTAATGTAGACGATAGGCTCTCGAGACCTCGAGAGCCGCGCACGTTTCATCCTATCAAACCGTTTGACCCCGGGGTTGTAACAACTCTCGCGTACACTTCGGACGGCGCACCTGAAGAGCACAGGGCCCGCGACTGCATGTGAGCATGGCAGATTCGCAGGGTCACCACGATGACATCAAGTCGTTCGCGGCGACCCGTGCCTTCGAGGAAGGTCCGACGCCACCTCACTGCAGTCCCTCCTCACTCTGGCCCGCAGCTGACGACCGCCTGCGCACGTTGCAGAGCGCAAAAAGACCAATGAGCAGGTGCTCAACTTGCTGGGCATTCCGCACGCCGACGAGGCTCGACGAAAGATGACGGAGCTGGTGCATGACAAGGTGGTCACGGCCCTGGGCCAGCAGTGTCAGTGGGGTGTGAAAGCCGGGACAGAGCAGAGTGCCGAGCTGCCGCCGGTGGCGGACTTCTCCACCTCCCCATTGGAGCGCGCTCGAATCTTCTGGCTGAACAACACGCGCAGTAGCCTCGACGCGGTACTTCTCGACTTCAATGCAAGGGAAGATTTGTTGAGGCACCTTGGGCAGGGCGTGGGCGAGTCTGGGCTGAAGCAGCTCGAGCTGCTGCTCGCGGTGCGAGAGCTGAGCGCGCAGCCCGCAGACGCGCAGGCGGCCCAGGCGCGCGAGCTGGCCGACGCGTTCATGCCGGGCTTCGAGGGCGCCTCGCCAGCGGAGCTGGTTGATCAACTCCTGCAGGCAGCCGGCGAAACGGCCGAGGCCTTCGCAAGGGAGTGGATTCCCTCCTTCTTGTGCTCGCCATCCAGCGACGCGGTGGTACGGCGGCTGCCGGTGGGGTGCGAGCGTCCCTTTGGCAGCGCGTCCCACCTGCTCTGGGACCAGTACCGCGTGGAGCCTGCGGCGTCTGGCTGGCTCTACTCCATCGTCAGCGCTGTGGACGAGAGCCCCGAGTGCGTCACCATCTCGGACCCGCGCGTGGCAGGCCACCCTCTCATCTACGTCAACCAGGCCTTCTGTCGGACGGTCGGCTACAGCAGGTCAGAAGTGCTCGGGCGGAACTGCCGCTTCCTCCAGGGCCCCGAGACGGAGGTGGGCGCCGTGGCGGCCATCGTTGGTGCAATCCGCAGCGGCGCAGATTGCAGCGTCCGGATCACCAACTACAAGCGCAGTGGCGAGACCTTCCTCAACCTGCTCTGCTTGCGCGCCGTCACCGACGCAGAGGGCGCCGCGAGGTTCTACATTGGCGTGCAGTGCGATGCGTCGCAGCTGAAGCACTCGTTCGCCAGCACGCTGGTGCAGTTCTTGCCCACAAGTGCGCCGTTGATGCCGCCTATCCTTTCAACAGCTCCACCCCCGACCGATTCGGAAGCGGCTGGATGCGACGTGGCGGACAGCGTGCGCTTTTGCCGCGAGCACACGATAGTGCTCAAGGCACTAGATGCTTTCGATCCAACGATTGCGTTCACATGTTTGAAATGGAGCGGTGGCCTGGAGGCGGCCTTTGATGCTCTGCTCCTGAGCGAGTCCTTCACCTCCTCTTTCGAGCAGTTTGTCACCGAGCATCGCCCGCACCGCTCGCAAGACTGGACAACCTACCGCGCGCTCTCTAGCCTTTCTGCCATGGCGCCAAAGGCGCGCGACGAGAAAGCCAAAGAGTTGTTCACGAGATACACGTCTGAGCAACCAGCAGGGAAAACTGCCCTTGCGTTGCGCCAAGCTCTCGAGAAGGAGGCGTCGCAGCGGGCACAAAATTTGCGCGGCGTCTTTGCCTCGTTCCTTACGAGCCCCTTGTGCACGACTGCCCTCCAGAAGATGGGTGCAGGAATGGAGTCGGGAGGAACACAAGCATCCGAGGTGCAAACCGTTGGCCTGGCCTCTTGGCTCGAGATGCTGGCCGAGGCGACGGAGGCGCTGCCGCACGCGATCATCGTCGCGGACATGCACGCCCCCGGCGCGCGCATCGTCGCCGCCAACGAGGCCTTTGCCCAGCTCACCGGCCACGCGCGCGAGGACGTCATCGGCCGCAACTGCCGCTTCATGCAGGGCCCGCAGACCGAGCAGGATGCCGTGCGGCGCGTCGTAGAGAGCGTGCGCTGCGCGCGGCAGGGGCAGGTCGAGCTGACCAACTACAAGGCGGACGGCACGGCCTTCCGCAACTTGCTGTCGCTGCAGCCGGTGCACGACTCGAACGGCGTGTACCGCTACAGCATCGGCGTGCTGAGCGACGCCGCCACGCTCGACGAGGGCGGGCGCGAGGAGGTTGAGCGGCTGCGGCGCTTGCTGCCCACCCAGTTCGAGGTGGAACTTGAGCCCCTGCCGCGGTCTGCAACGTCTGCGGGGACAACCGAGACTTCGCACCTGGCAGCCGGCAAGGCACGTGCGCTGCAGCACTTTGGTGCGTTTGCGTTTCTGCAGGACATCGAGGGCACACTAGGCATGCTCGCGCGCGACGAGGACCAACTCGCGATCTTTCGGGACATGCTCCCTTCCGAGGCTTCCAGGCTGTCATTGAGCTTCTGGGTGGAAGCTTGCGAGATTGATATTCTCTTTGACGATGAAAGCCGTGATGAGTGCGCAACCCGTATCCTCGCGCAGTACTTTGGCTCAAGTGTCGTGCCGCCGCGGCCGCTAGTTGTTGAGACGCTCATGCGCGAATCCGAGGCAATGCACCAAAAGTTGGTTTCCAATGATGTGCCATCTATCCTACTGAGCTCTGCGAGACAACCCGCATTAGAGCTGCTGCTCCGCGTAGACAGTGACGTTGAAGCCATCATGAGCAAGGCGCGCGAGGGCCGCGGCGTGCGCTTCGGGGGTTGGGCCAATATTCCTTCTGACGTTGCGGAATGGCACGCGAGCATGACTGCAGGCGCTGACGGCTGTCCCTTCGGCGTAAGCATCTCTGACCCGAAGCAGCCCGGCAATCCATTGGTCTACATCAATGCTGCCTTCACCAAAATGACTGGGTACCGCGGAGACGAGGCTCTGGGCCGAAACTGCCGCTTCCTGCAAGGTCCCGACTCCGAGACGGGGGCTGTTGAAGTGATCAAGGAGAGCGTGCGGCAGGCAAGCAGATGCTGTGTGCGCATCACAAACTATCGGAAGAGCGGAGGGGTATTCCAAAACCTGCTTGTGATTCAACCCGTACTCGACTCGACTGGCGAACTCTGCGCCTGCGTCGGACTTCAACTCGAGCTCGACAGCAAGCTGGCCTGTGAAGCCTTCCACAATTCTTTTTGATGCCCCCCCAAAGAAAAGAAAACGGCCAACCCAAGGGAGGGATGGGAGGACGGCACGCCGCCACCACACAGGGATTTTAATGCCCAGTGTGGTGCGAGCGTTTAAAATTCTTTTCGATGTTCACGCCTGTCGCGTGAATCGTCCGCGTAGTAAATTCTTTTCGATGTTCGTTCCTGGCCGCCGTTCGGGCACGAGGTCCGGCGCGAGCGGCGAGAGCGGTAGTCGGTACAGGAGGCACCGCGAGAGATGACTCGGTACAGGAGGCCGCGCGCGCCCTCGGCGGCGTTTTCGGGCAGGACCGTCGCAGAGGCGCCGGGAAATGATGCGCTCGTTGACTTGCGGCAGCAGCTTCTGCGCCGGCGAGAACAGTGCTCTGGGCACGCGCCGCCACCGCCACCGCCGCAGCCGCCGCCGCAGCAGCTGCCGCCACCGCCACAGCTCGATGCGCCCGTCGACTTGAGGCAGCTTCTGCGCCTTCGAGAGCAGCGCTCTGAGCACTCGCTGCCACCGCCCCCGCCACCGGCGCACCTGCCGCCTCCTCTGCCGCAGCCGCCGCCGCGACAGCCACCCTCTCAGCCAGAGCTGCAGCCACAGCCGCGACAGCCACCCTGCGGGGAGCGCGACAGGCCGCCGATCGTGGACCGGCCTCCACGGTCGCCTTCTTTCCTCGACTGCCCTCCCGCCCCGGGCCGCGACAGTGCGTGGACCTACGGCGACCAACAGCCTTGGCAGCGCCCGCAACAGCGCCCTCAGCAGCGACCGCAGCAGCCCATTGACAGCAGCGCGCGCCGCTGGGCAAGTACGGGCGCGGGCGGAGTTTGGCCACGAGAGCAAGGGCGGCGGCCGCCACCGCCCAAGCCGCGGCAGCAGCGACAGCCGTCGCCGGAGCAGTGGCGGCGGCAGTGGCAGTTGGAGGAGCAGCAGCAGCAGCAGGAGCGGCGGCAGTTTGAGCGGGATCGAGACCGGGAGCGGCGGCAGTTTGAGCGGGAGCAGCGTTGGCGGCAGCACCAGTGGCAGCCGCGCCAGCAGCACCCGCAAGAGCCACACGGGTGGGGACAGCAGCCGCCGCCGTCGCTTGAGGAGGAGCAGTGGCGCCGGCAGCAGCAGCTGCAGCAGCAGCAGCAGTGGCAGGAGGAGTGGCAGCGGCGGCGCCAGGGGAGACGAGGAGAGAAGTTGCGGCTGGGGGGGGGTGGATCTGACGAGCGGGATCACGTCTCGATCACGCGTGAGCGGACGCTGGAGGAGCGGAACGCAGAGGGGTTCGCCAACGCGATCGATCTCGATGCGGACGATGAGGCGGCGGAGGAGGGCCCCGTTCCTCCCCAACCCGCTCCTCCCCAACCCGCTCCTCCCCGCCCCGCGGAAGTGGTCAGGCTGCCAGAGGGTGGGGGAGGTGGAGGAGGCCTCGCCGCCGGTCTCGCCGCCGCCCTGCGGCCGGGGGGTGGAGGAGGAGGGGGAGGAGGCCTCGCCGCCGGTCTCGCCGCCGCCCTCGCGGCGGCGAGAAGAACCGCCGCAGCAGAAGCTGCAGCGGCCGGGAGCAGCAAAGCAGGGCCTGCCAAGTCCACCGCTCCTCCCAACGTGACCGCCTCCGCCTCTGCTCCCTCCTCCTCCATTCTCGCTCCCGCCTCCTCCGCCTCCGCCGCCCCCGCCCCCGCCCCCTCCGCCTCCGCCCCTCCTGCTCCTGCGCCGAGCTCGGCTTTGGGCAGCCTCACGGGCCTCGGCGTCAGGCCTCGCGTGGTGGAGGTCGAGCAGCGGTGCAAGGTCGAGGTCGGCACGTGGCAGTCTGGGGAGGGCAGGGTCACGTTTGAGCCGGACGCCTTCCGATGGACCACCGCGAGGGAGGTGCCAGGTCTCGGCTTCTGCACTCTCAAGCTGCGGACCTCGAGCATCATTTCTGCGACCTTTGACAAGCGGAGTAACGTGCTCAAGGTCCGTGGGATGGTGGAGGTGCCGTTTCACAGCCTCGACCGGTGGTATGACCCTTTCTCGGACCCTGGTGCGTGGCTCCCCACGACGCGCTTGCGCGCGCCATCACGCACCCATCCCACCCACCCCCTCTGCGTTGCTGCTGCGCAGGCTCGCCCAAGGGGTGCCTTTGCCTCACTTTCGACGACGTTCGCAACTTCACCGCGGTGCTCAAGGCGGTGCCGCGGCTCCGGGCGAGGACCACCTTCCAGAACGGCACTCCCGGCAGCGACCCCGCGCTTGGCACAGGGGGAACTCCCGCGTCCGTCACCACTCCAGCTGCCGCCCCCTCCGCCGCCGCCCCGTCCGCCGCCGCCCCGTCCGCCGCCGCCCCCTCCGCCGCCGCCCCCTCCGCCGCCGCCCCCTCCGCCGCCGCCCGCTCCGCCGCCGCCCCCTCCGCCGCCGCCCCGTCCGCCGCCGCCCCCTCCGCCGCCGCGCCCTCCGCTGCCGCGCCCTCCGCCCCAGCCCCCTCCGCTGCCGCGCCCTTCGCTGCCGCGCCCTCCACTGCCACCGTCCGACGAGCCAGCGCGCGGGACACGCCTCGCAAGAGGAGGCGGCCAGTGGTGCGCGACGACAGCAGCGAGGGCGAGAGCGAGGGCGGGTGGGAGACGCTGGCAGCGGCACCGGCGGCGACTGCGGCGCCGGTGCCAAGGGCAGCGGCGCCGGCGGTAGCTGCGGCGCCGTTGAGGGCGGCAGCACCGTTGTTGGCTGCGGCGGCGGCGCCGTCAGAGCCTACTCACCGTGGTTGCGAGTCGCCCAGCTTGTCACCAGCCCCGCGGCGACCGCGCGACCAGAAGACGACGAGCAACGCCACAAAAATGGTGGACGGCTACGAGCTGGCCCCTGCGGCCGCGGCTCAGCTTGATGAGCTGCTTGCGGTGGTGCAGCGGCTGAAGGACGAGGCTGCGCCCAACATGACGGTGCGCGTGAGCGGCGGGTGGCATGTACAGTGGATTGCGAGGGTGAACAAGAGCAGCGCGGTCGGCGACTACTACGCCTATCGGCGCGACGACCCGAGCCGCCGTTGCCGCTCTCGGCGCGAGCTCTTGCGAGCGCTGTCGGCCAGCGATCCTGCTGACGTCTCACACTCTTCTCTCTTCAGCAGCGCTCGCAGCGACAGAGATTGTGATGACGTGGGCGACGACGGCGGCAGCGCCAGTGAGAGCTCGGACGTCGACTCTGACGACGTTGACCAGCGCAATATCATGAAGGGCAGGCGGCGCCGCGCTGAAGTAAATTATTCGGAGCGGCCGAACTCGGACTCCTCGGACTCCTCGTGAGAGTTCTGGATCGTTTTGCAGAGGTGTTCATCGCGTGAGTAGTCTACGTGATTTTTGCATTTATACTGTATTCATACACAAGGCCTTGTCACAAGACGGAGCCGATTTCGTTGCCGTTGGATCGAGCAGGCATCACCAGCCAGTTCGACCCTTCCGCGGGGGAAGGATCGATCCGCGCGACGCGTCGTGAGAAATGGCTGCGTCGGCGGCCGTCAGCCTCTGGCGTGCTGCGCTGTGCTGACCCTCGGCGTTGTGCTACGTCGGGTGCAGCGGGTGTGGCAGCTCCGGTGGAGGAGGCGTCGACGCCAACACGAAATCGGCCAATGCCGAGGTGCTCGGCTGCACTGGCTGCCTGGGCAGCAGCAACGCTAGCAGCGTCGCTAGGCAGCAGCTCGCCCACCTTGAGTGTTGAGCCCTGGCCTGCGGCCGACTGCCTTCGTCTCTCGGGCACAAAGGCATGCACGACACGCGACCTGTGACGGCGACGCCACCAGGCAACGACGACCATTGGGAAGAAGATGCAGAGGACCGCGGCGGAAGCTACCCCGGCAATGCCAACTGCCGACGTTGGCGTTATCGTCGTTCCGATCATCGACTCGTCGAGCTGAAGCGGTGGCGCGGGCGACGGGGGAGGCGAGCGAGGAGGCGCGCCCGGTGGAGAGCCCGGGGGTGGGGGCGAGGGTGGGGGCGAAGGGGGCGGAGGCGACGGCGGCGGTGACGGTGGCGGCGAAGGTGGAGGCGGCGACGGGGGAGGTGGCGAGGGTGGAGGAGGGGAAGGCGGCGGCGAGGGTGGCGGGGGGGAAGGTGGCGGTGGCGAAGGTGGAGGCGGAGAGGGAGGTGGCGGCGAGGGTGGCGGTGGCGAGGGCGGTGGTGGTGAGGGCGGAGGTGAGGGTGGCGGTGGAGAAGGCGGCGGTGGGCTCGGCGGGGGAGGGCTTGGTGGTGGCGGAGAGGGTGGTGGCGGAGAGGGCGGTGGCGGTGAGGGCGGTGGCGGGGAGGGTGGAGGCGGCGAGGGCGGAGGGGGACTCGGTGGTGGCGGCGAAGGCGGCGGTGGGCTCGGGGGTGGCGGTGAGGGCGGCGGCGGAGAGGGCGGCGGCGGTGAGGGTGGCGGAGGCGAGGGAGGCGGCGGGGAAGGTGGCGGTGGCGAGGGCGGTGGTGGATAAGGTGGCGGCGGGGAAGGCGGTGGCGGTGAGGGCGGTGGTGGCGAGGGCGGTGGCGGCGAGGGCGGTGGCGGAGAAGGTGGGGGTGGAGATGGCGGCGGCGGAGAGGGCGGCGGCGGGCTTGGCGGTGGTGGCGATGGCGGCGGCGGGGAGGGCGGCGGCGAGGGCGGCGGCGAGGGAGGCGGTGGTGAAGGGGGCGGCGGTGAGGGTGGAGGCGGACTTGGTGGTGGTGGGCTTGGGGGTGGCGGCGAGGGCGGTGGTGGAGAGGGTGGTGGCGGCGACGGCGGAGGAGGGCTTGGTGGTGGAGGTGAGGGTGGCGGCGGAGAAGGTGGCGGTGGTGAGGGAGGTGGCGGCGAGGGCGGCGGCGGTGAAGGCGGAGGAGGAGAGGGCGGAGGCGGCGAGGGCGGAGGTGGGGAGGGCGGTGGCGGCGAGGGCGGAGGCGGCGAGGGTGGCGGAGGCGAGGGTGGCGGCGGCGAGGGTGGCGGAGGCGAGGGCGGCGGAGGAGAAGGTGGAGGCGGCGAGGGGGGCGGCGGCGACGGCGGAGGTGGGGAGGGTGGCGGTGGTGAGGGCGGTGGGGGGGAAGGCGGAGGCGGCGAGGGCGGTGGCGACGGTGGCGGGGGCGAGGGTGGCGGCGGTGAGGGCGGGGGGGAAGGAGGTGGCGGTGAGGGCGGTGGCGGCGAGGGCGGCGGGGGGCTGGGTGGCGGCGGAGACGGTGGTGGGGGCGAGGGTGGAGGTGGTGAGGGAGGCGGTGGCGAGGGCGGAGGTGACGAGGGAGGTGGCGGCGAGGGTGGCGGCGGTGAGGGAGGCGGTGGCGATGGCGGAGGCGCCAGAGGGTGGAGGTG